CGATCAAGTTTATATAATTGATTTTTGATCGATCAAGCAAAATTTTTTTTGGTCAATCATCGAGCAATGATTTTTTTGTCGAGTCAATTCACTAGTTAAAACCAGGTAACCTAGTAAGGATTCGAATTCTCAGCATCGATAGTTTAAAAATAGATAAACAATAAGACAAATTATATCTATATGTTTCCAACAAAGCTAATAAACCCTCTTCACAAATATTACAAATGAAGTATCTAATCAAGAAACTAATTAAAATACAAGAAGTAATAGTTGTTGTTATAATAAAAAAAATTGCGAAAGGGTCTATATAATAAATATCGATGTAAAATTGAATATAACATAAAATAATAATAATAAATAAAATTGCTTCTCTACCGGTAAAATTATACCGATTAAAATGTGACGTACGGTATGTTACAATTTTGAAGCACGTACGTACGTCAATTTTTAATTGACGGAAATTTGAAAACGAACATGTTCGGAGTTCTCATTTTTACATGTTCATATAAGACTGCATAACCAAAACTAGTCATGATCAGTAATACGATTAATTGACTCCAGGATCACACAAAAAAAAAGGGTAATAAACTGAATTGTATTGCAAAGATAGATACTTTATTAACTCAATCGAATACATAGAAATGCTGAGGATAATTTTATTACATACGGTTCTTATTTAAATGAGAATTACTTTCTGTCATCATACGTCGTCTCTTGTTTTTCTATTATTTTGTAAGATTTCTTTTATGATTTTTTCTGATTCAAGCGATTTCGACTACATTGATTCTATGTCAAAAATGTCAATCAACTACTAATAACAAAAATTGTATAATAGCTTACCTCTAACAACCTAAGGATACAGTACGCATCCTCAAGGATGCTTATATCATCTTCATCGACCGGTAATTTACACCTATCTAATTTACCAAATCTGTATATTCCGGATCCAATCTAGTCCATAGCGTAAAAGCTTAGCTCAACTCCTGACATTTAAACTATTAATATATTTTTTTTGATATATATCTGATATACTAAATATCACATTGAAACAACTTTACCAACTTGCAACCAACCGTATACTGTTAACTTTTTACGTTGTTCATCTGTTACGTGTAAATAGTTTTTAAAAAAATTGATTAAGACTGTCCGTTAACATCACATAAGTTTTACTTTCTCCACATATTGTTTTTTTCTGCAAGAAGCAGGCAAGCCAAAAGAAGTCAAACCACCGGAACTTTCACCATAAATTATTTCAAATTTATTTAGCGTTTTGACCAAGGTTCCTCTCATGTCAACCTTATATCCAACTCTGGCCTTCGTGAAGGGACTTTGTTCTTCATTCCGTGCTTTATTTGTCGAGATTGCCTGAATTTCACCCCTGTATTTTTGATATAACTGTCAACTATAAAATGATTGAATTTCTCTCCCTCAAAAAAAGAAAATTTATTTACCAAGAATTATTTATATTCGGCGATTGAAAATTCCTGAAAACAATGGAAAGGTTGCTGACATTTTTAATTCTTCTTCGGTGCACGCCTTTCGCAGCTTTGGCATTTTATCTATCCTAAATAATATTTATCGCTGTTTGCATATTGATGCAACCCATGATAAAATTTGTAGATCGCTGCATACCCGATTGTTCGATTGAAATCGATTGTACGTGATTGTACGTGATTGTATGCGATTTCTCAGCGACCATCAGATCAAATTCGATGAAAATTTTTTTATTCGAATTTTATGAATCTATAGAATTCAAATAAAAAAAATTCATCAAATTTGATCAGATAGTTGCTGAGATATCTTCGTTCAAAGCTTTAGGAAAAGTTTGGCGCAGCTTCTATTTT